AGACTGTTTTGGTTTTGTGTACCCTGCTCCCTGCTCTCCCTGCTCTGCCCTGGAGAAAAACTAATTAGGATATTTGATTGTCAAAATAGAATGGGAGTTCTAAATATGTACCTGCAGATATACCCACAAGTGGATGAGTTATCTGAGCCAGGAGCAAGTATTGTGCAGTCTATAAAGCCCCATTTGTATGGAATAGATATATACCACAGTGCTTAAAGCGAAAATAATAAATTAGAGGGAAAAGAGTTATAAGCATTCGTTTATTGCTTTAGTTTATGCATTTGGCTGGTCAGCATAAATAAATAAATGTAACTGAAGCATAAAATGTGTTTTAAAATAATCACGTAAAATATGGGCGAGCGATAAAAGCCAAGCATCATATTGAGCGATACTATTAAATGGGAGCTTTATAATGTAGAATATATATAGCACATTCTTTTATGTACATATATACGAGCTCAATTTGCAATTCAAGATATTTATTGTCAATATTGCATTGGTACTTGAAATGGTACACAAATATTGGGAAAGATTCACATAAAAATAATTAAATTATTATGTGTTTAATAATTAAAACTTGCCGCATCCAAGAATTTCTCCTGACACAAAAACCCTGCAAAGGAGAAACAATAATGAGATCGTCAAGAATTTCTCCTGAAAGTTTTGTTTGATTTGATTGAGATTACTCTCAGTGTGTTAAATTTCCTTGGCAGAATGAACACTAAAGAAAAAGAAATATAAGTACATGACAGTATTGAGTTATTTAGCATTGATTGAGCTGATTCTTCAATAGACAAAACACTTCAGTTGAGCAATTTTACGATTGGCAACCTGGTTTTCGGCTCAGTGCATGCGAAATTGTTGCTGCAGCCGGGAATACAAATTATGTGTACTGGCAAAATATCACGTACATATAACTGTGTGCTCACACGCACACACAGGCACACACGCAGGCCCTCTCGCTGCAGTGAATGCAACAATTTTCATGTCGCCCATGGCACTCAGAGTTTCGAAACATACTTTAAAAGACATTCGTTTACTATGATCAGGTGTAGAAAAAAGTTTTCCCAACATTCAATTGAACGAGCTTTAAGTTGAATTTTGTAAATGTATATATTATATATATATTATATATATATGTTATATATTTAATGTATTCAGAATCAAATCAATTCGCACTCTGAGCGACCTTCGTATTTAATAATCATGAATGGGCTATAGCTCAAAAGTAAATTCCTACGATTTGTACCACGCAGAGGGAAGACGAGGAGAGGGATGAGCGCGATGCCTGCGACGCAACGTTTAGTTATTATGTTTAGCTGTAAGCCGAACTGAATGAAATATCACATCCTGGAAAGAAATAAAAATCAGCGTCAGTAAAAATACACATAAGAAATAAGCAGGAAGCAGCCAGAGATGAAACAGGAAGTAAAACACACACACCTACGCTCACACACAAAAACCGAGACGAAACGCTCGCAGCGTCAAAAGACAATGACGATGCAGGTTCCCAAAGCTGGTCGACAAGGTGTGGGTGGGGGATGAGCTGCCAGCATCTGTACACAGGAGCTGAGCAAATAAAAAACCAACAAAAAATATATATACATATATGTGTGTATATATACTTACGTATTATATACATAACGATGCTGGCTGGCCGGCATCAAACGTGACGAAAAATGTAAAAATAAAATATAATGGCTATGCAGTAGTCCCTGCGCCACGCCGTGTCCTGGACTTGAGCGATAATTTTTTATTTGTATGCCTATCCGTAAGCTAAAAGTTAGCGGGGCCAAAGTGCCCAAAAACAAAGCGGGCCAGTGCTGGCAGTTTATCCTTTTTCACGATAGATTTAGCTTTTTTTTCCCATTTCTCTCATATTTACACATTAATTATTTTACTGTTATTATTATTATTTTCGTTTTCGTTTTTCACATTATGATTCTTATTTCTGTTTCTATTTTCTGTTCTAGTTTTATTTTTGTTTTTGCAGAAAATCAGGTTTGGTTTTATATATTTATTTTTGAGGCTTTATGTTGTCTTCTTGTCGGTCTCGATGGGTGAGAGGCAGCACTAGTAGGTCAACTCCAAATGGTAATGGCTAAGGGATAAGGCGTGAGGGACACGGCGTGCGGGGTTAGAAGTGAGAACAACACATACACTTGGCCCCGAAAAAAAACGAGCAAAAAAGGAAGAAAAAAAAAAACATTTTGTAGCCACGGTCGCCGCCGTCAAGCTGCGCGTTATCCTTTGTGTAATTTTTGGTTTAATGAGGCAGCATTGGCAGCAAGAACTTGCCTCTTTCTGCTGCTCCGGCACCTCCTGTTCCTTTGGCCTGCTCCGCCTCCTACGCCCCCTCTGGGCCTGCTATACACCTCCTTTGTAATAGCCAGCTTGCTTTTAACGATGCCGCACAGTAGGCAGCCATATTTTTTTCACTCATACATTTTTATGGCCGGAGCATTAAGTTAAAATTTGTGTTAAATATTTTATTGTTTTTATGGTCACATGAACACCTTAATTTTTATGTCTGTGTGCAGCGACATAGGTCCTGCAAATTATGAATATTATTTAATGCTGCGACTGTCTAGCCCTAGACTTGGCTTACAAAACTGTTGGCCAATGCCTCACACTCACGCTGCGTATGTGTGCGTGTGTGTCTGGGCTCATTATTAGCAACGAACCTTTTTAGGATCGAACACCAGGGGCTGATGGGATACACAATTGCTTCGCCACCTGTCCGCTTGCCAATGTGCCGTTCGATGACAGCTTTAACTTTTATCTGTCTGCCAGGAGCGGAGATGAGTCGGCGGGAATGGAATAGAGTGGGTGTTTGGTTTCCTATTAATTACTCATTGCCATTGCCAGTTGTAAGCTTCGTTGCCGTGTCCAATTAAAAGGACAAGTAGAAGCGTGGTGGACGGTTCCACCCGACTGCACAATGCTCGTGAACGGTTTAGATGAACAGAGAAAATCAATCATTGTATCTATGTCTATCTGCAGGTTGGCGCTTACGCAAATCCAATACACTCTAATGCAGCTGGCGAGCGAGCATAACAAGGTAATTACTAACTATGCCAACAGCTCTCGAGTATCGGAGCATGGAAGACGAAATCACTTTAATTTTCGTTTAAGTGATTCCACAGACAAATCAGCTTCATGCAAGTGGAATTTATGAGTGTTACTTGGCATTGATGCATGCTGCCGTATCTCGAGTCGATTTGATTAGTCTCTGAATAGCTCATAAATAGCTAACGAAGAGCCAATGAAGTACGGGGCAATTAATCTGCGGATATTGACCAGGCACAGGCACAGGTAGAGGTACAGGTAGGGGCACAGGTACACAAGGCAGGCGTGTACTTGGGGCAAAGTAAATTATTTTTAGCATGCATAGGTTTATGGCACGTAACGTCGCCGAAATTTGCAGATTTATTGCAGCTAAAATCAACGCTAATATAATGCATAAATCAGGCCGCTCTGGCCAACCTACGATATATATTCGCCTGAATCTAGCATAAATAAGTTCGTCTCGGCTCTACCTCTGGTGAGCGGGCCAAGTCTCCGGCTACATGTGAGCCAAATGAAATTCAGCGAAAACGAATCATTTTGGCCAACGGCTGATGGCGGATGCCTGATGGCAGATGGCTGGGCTTGGGGTTGGGGTTGGGGTTGGGGCTGGGGTTCGGGTTGGATGGCTGGCTAGGTTACCCTAAATTGCTCGACGGCTATATTAGGTGCACGATTTTTTAGCAGAGCGTAGCAAACAGACAGCAAGAAAGAGAGAGAGAGAGTGACAGAGAGAGACCATTAGAGAGCGCAGACGTCAAGTCTCTCGCCTTCCAGCGGTCCTGCGAAGCTCTCACACAGAACTGCAAGGGAAATAACAGACAGCGAAATAAAACTGGGTTTTTCGCAGCTCTAGCAGCTGGCCAGTGAGTTAGCGCCTCGCAGGCCAGGCTAATTGAAATATTACATCGTAGGTCAGTTTGAGGCAGCCACCGTGAGAACTCGATGACAAGTTACAATTTCGCTGAGGCCAACGCTTGGCAATGGCACTGCCAACCTTCGGAGCACTTCTAATGCCGTATGAAGACGCAGGATGCCTTTCGGACAGCAGGTAGCAGACGCGCCAGCCGGCCAAGTATCATCTCAGAGGCAAACGAAGCTGGACTCAGCAAACCTGTCCGGCACTAATTAAAAAACCATTTACCAAACGCGAGCGTTGCCAATGGGAGAGATGTGCTGAACGGTGTAATAGTGCGACAATGTAGAGGCGGCTGGCAAACAAGTTGAGTGTTTACAGTACTTCGTCTTGGTCGTTGCGGTTGTTGTCTTGTTGTTGTTCTTGTTGGTTTGATCGAGTTTGGTGTTTTCACACATTTCCAGATCAGTGGCCAACTGTCGACTTTTGTGCGGGCCTACGCAGCGGCTCGAAGTTGAAAACAAAACTTCAATTGGTGGCGGTGAGTGGGAAACGAGTTGGCTGGTGCAGAACGAAACATAAAACTGGTTTTTGGGTCAAAGCAAAGGGCTAGCAGCCCGCTACTGAGGCCAAACAACGGCGAACTGGCAAACTTGAGATAATTATTCAATGGAGCCGAGATCTCGAGACCTGAGTCGCACTCGCAGTCGACAGCTGTCGCAGCAGAAGGGCTATGCTAAAGGGTTATCGAGTGGCTGACACACATACGCACGCATACATGCGCACGTGCACACACACCCAACGACTCGACCCGACTGGACAGGTTAGCCAACGAGCGTAGCAAAGGTGAGCTCGCTCGCTCGCTCGCTCGCCGAACCAAGCATCGGCATCGCAGTGCGGGTATAAGAGTCAGAGCGAGTGTGAGTGCGAGTCGTCTGCTAGGCATTTTCGCGCAGGTTCTCTCTCCCTCTCTCAGTCTCTCTTGCTCTCTCGGTTCGCGCTCTCAGCAGAGGTTGCTCTCCGGAAGTTGTGGTGGCTGCAATCATCGGGCAGCGCTACTGCTTTATTCCTGACGCTGAGCTCGGCGCAGATTTAGTACTCAATTGTTGTGCTGCTACGGCGTACGTGAACGCGGACTGTGAAAGAAACACAACGTTCAGTTCTGAGTGAAGTTGTAAGTGCTGTTTGTGTCTGGTTTCTGTGCCTGTGACTGTGTTAGTGCCAGTGCCAGTGTCAGTGTGTGTGTGTGGGGTGTATGCCTGTGTATGTGCCTGCCTGCCTCGCTTGTGTGCGCACATCTGTGTATGTATATGCGTATATGTGTGTGTAAAGATGAAAAGTAGATGAAAAATTAACAACAACAAAATAAATTAAAACAAAATAAGTTGTAAATGCGAGCAGATGGGCCAAACACCCCAAATCATTCTAAGGGGTGGTGCGACAATTATGTGCGGACTGTGCTGAAGAAATAATATTGTGTATGGAGCCACATCAATATTGAAAACACGAAATACTCGCAAGCGTGGAGGAAAAGCAGGGAGTGATTCTCAGTTTTGTAACAGCCACGAAGTTCATGATTTTCACGCTCACTGCCAGAGGACCACACCCGCGCGGATGCACAGGTTACAAAAAGAAAAACCAGCGGCTGTCGTGCTAGAGAAAATCACCAGAGTCAGAGTCAGAAAAGAGCTCAGAGTCAGAGTCGGAGCAAAAGCAAGAGCAAGAGCCAGCACAGAGCCAGAGCGGAGGTGCAAGAAAAATTCCAGTTTTCGACTGCAACCCAAAGGATCACGCGGAGAGCAGAAGAGCGAGAGAAAGAGTAGGTCGGCGTCGTCAATAGCTCGCTCGAACGCTGGCTGGAACGCAGCTGTGTGCTAAGTTATGGCTGCGATGGGCGCGATGAGGCGGGGGAAATAGCAAATGCAGGGTAGTTGTCGTGCAGGATGTTTGCTAAAGTTGCGCAAGTGAATATTTCCCGCTATTTTAAGCGGACGCTATGCGCTAACAAGACCATTTCAAGTCAATGTCAGCTGTTTAGGAACTCATCTTAGAGAATTTGTCTTATGCTTTGCCATAGAAAGTGGCTTATTCTTACTCTTACTAGGCAAGCACAGTGCCTAATAGTTCACTTGGAAGAAGCAGAGCGGTAATCCGAGCTTAAGCTTCATCAACTTATACTGAGCTCAACTACCAAAAATAATGCCCAAACACTTGGTTGGTTTTATGGTCTGTTACGAAAACGCTGTTGGGAGCAGAGTTCTTGTGCCTGGAAAGCTGGTGCTCAGCCAAATTGTGCAGTCGACAGAGCAAATTTCCAATAGAGCGAGAGACAGAGAGAGAGAGAGGCGCGTCGCAGCGTCAAACTGAAACCGAAACAGAAACATGGAGCTGGCTGGTCGACGTGCCAGGCATTGCCTTTAAACTGGCAACGGAGTGCTCGCATCTTACAGCTGTGGCTCGCTTCTGGCTACGGGCTTCTGGCTAGTGGCTCTGCAACATTTTGGGAAAAAAGGTTAGGCGAAAAACTAAAGTAAAACACAGCAGCAGGCGAACGGCGGTTGGCGAATGGCGAATGGCGAACGGCAGGCAGGTGGACAAATTGTAAAAGTTGCGGAAGCGGTTCGTGAGGGCCCCAACAATACATTACACTGTGTGATAATTATATAATGCGTTTCAGGACAAATTCTCGGACAGCGTGTCCTGATGCCAAATGAGTCACGTGCTTGGCAAACCAAATTCTATGCTGTATATGTATGTGAGTGTGTGTGCGTGCGTGTCTGTGTGTGTGTGTGTGTGTGAATCTAGTGCTAGCAAAAAGGGCGTGAAAAAGTCGAAAAGTGGCCATCCAATCGGGATTTTACAGCAAACAACTTCCTTTGACCATATGCGATTACAACATCAAAATCGAACATAATTTTTTTATTTTTACGCCGTATTGATTTAAGTTGTTGTGCATAAAAGTCGACGTCCCGCTAGTGTATCGGTGGGATGTGAATGTTTATGCTTGGCCCTCGCGTTTATTTTACGTCTTATGTATTCTTTTTTGTTCTCAACCCTTGAAATGTTGCCCGTAGCCCAGCTCCACGTAAAAGTCAACGGAAACGTTTCCGTCGGCAGCAGCAGCAGCCACAGCAGCGCGGCCATTGCTGAGGTCCTTCATCAAAATGCGCACACATACAAAAGTAAATGTATATGAAAAGAAAGTGTCATAAATCAAGCGATTATCCTGTAAACAAAGTGTAAAACGCGCTCCCCAGCAAACAACAAAAACAACAAAAACAACAACAACAGCAATAACAACAACAACAACCTTTAATAAAAACAGAACCAGAAACCCAACAAGGAGTTTTTCTTAATAAAACCCGATTTGTATTACGTTAAAAGCCAACGTGGATAACAAAAACAACAACAACAACAACAACGATAACCACAGCTACAACAACAACAACACCATAGAAGTGCTTTTTATTACTTGAGCATTTAATTTTGCTGAGTTGCTGTTGGACATTTCGTCTGAAGCCCAACAAGGTTTTGGGTACAGCCACTTTGTTTGGCATTTTTGGAGAGTCCCAGCGAAAACCAAGGCACTACATTGGATTGGGCTTGAACACATTATATAATGCTTGCGACAGTGAGGTGAGTAAATGGCCGTCTGCTCCTTTGATAGTCCATAATAAACATAAATATAAGTGGTTTTCATTGGGAATATTCAGCCATGCTCTGAGTTCGTCTGTTACTTAGTTTTATATCGATTAAAATCGATATAAATAGTGCTATCGATTACTTAAAAGAAACTTCAATTGCCTTAGCAAACTATTGATTCTATTCAAGCATACATCGACTCCATGGAGTTGGCCGGCCGAGGAAATATAGTCTGTTTACCAGCTCTCAAAGATGTTTCCTCTTACAGTGCCTGAAGTGTTTGTGCACACACGAATCTAATTGAATCACACCTTCTCTCTGTGGAAATTGAAGGCTGTTATCGGCGCACAGAATAGGCGAAAATGTAATTACAATTTATGCATTTTTCAATTACAATTGCAAAGTGTATGTAAATGTCACAATTCAATTACAAAGCTGGCTATGGCAGAAAAAGACAGACAATGCACAACAGGGCATAAAAACAGAGCCACAAAACAATCGGAAAATGTGTGTAAAACTATTTCTGGCCGGGGTTGAGTAGTTCAAGTTTGATTGCTTCTATGGTTTTGGTCTGGGCCGGGCTTTCGCTGTCTCTTTCTCTTTCTCTCTCTGTATCTGCCTCTGTCTGTCGATGGCAAGAGGCCGACGGGTAATGTAATTGAAGACTGTAAAGCCCACAAGCATGTATATCACTTTTGAGCTTGTAGCTGCTGGCAGCTGCAATTGATAGGCAAGGAGGAAATTACAATTTCCATAAACAGAATTGCGTTTTGCTTGACTTAACCCCAATGCCAAACATTTGTTTAGACTTTCGCTCTGTCTTAATTTAACATTGATTACACACACACACAAACACAAACACAAATAAACACAGGCATTTGCTATTATTGGCCATTCTTTGAAGCTGTCTTCTCCGAGTGTCTCCGAGTGCTTCGACGTCTCGCAGACCGAGGCTAATGGCAATGGTTACAAATTGTGAATAATGATAAATGAATGCGTTTATCTTAATTTCAACACTGTCTGCGCATTGACCAAGGCACAGCGGATTACTTCTGCCCCGATATGGCCAGAATTGTTTCATACATTTTTACGAATTGCCTAATTGATTAATCGCCTTAATCTTCACATCTCTCTAAATAAATGAAAAGCAATTGTGAGAGTCGATGCAAGAGACTCGCAGACGCATGACGTTGCTGAATAATTATTTCTCAGGCGGGAAGCCAAACTCGCACAGACGGAAAAATGTGTAAACAAAATAGACTCCAAACAAAAAGTGGCTATCGAGCGACAGCGAAATGAAAATATCATCACAAAACAAAAAACGAGAGCCTCTGCAAATAACTCGCGGGCTGAGAGACATAAGAGGAGAACCAGTGAGTGACCAGCTAGCCAGAGGTAGAGGCAGAGGTAGAAGTAGAGGCTGGGGTAGAGGCAGCGACTGGTCAGCCGTTCCGCAGTTCATTGGAATTTCTGTTTGAATGTGATACCAAATGGGAGCGAAATGGAGGAAGTTGGCAGTGGGGCATGGGGATGGAGCAGAACAGAGCAGCACAGAGCGAGAACTGAGCAACTGGAGAGCACTTGGAGCATAGTAGACATCGAGTTAGGCGTGCTGTTATGCGATTATGTGAATAGAAGACCAAATCCGAAATGCTGTACACAATACGAAAAGCGTATAATGAAAAATGAAAAATCGAAAAGCTGAGCAACTGAGGAACTAAGAAACCGAAAAAGTCGTTGCTTCAGGTAATAATGAGGCACATTTATGTATTGCCTAAATTTTCTCTCGATGTTCGATGAAGCTCACTCAGTTTGAATGCTGGAGATGTTTGTTTACACACACATTCCCACACACTCACACACACACTGGTGCAGCTTAAAAGCAGTTATATGGCTCTGGATGGCGCCCAAAAACTGGCGCGCATAATGATGCGAATGCTGAGCACAAAACATAAGCCCCGAGAAGCTCTACAGCATAGCGATACTCACCACGGCAGCGATCGGGTAGGCTTGACTTGAAGAAGTCACAGTGGAGGGGGATCGGCCGCACTCGTATAAGAGCGCCGCCTGGTATAAGAGATAACTTGTTTTCCCAGCTCCAGCTCGAGTGCGACAGATACACAGAATTTCCTGTACTACTAATATGGCAATTCTATGACGTCAGGAAAGACTGAAAATGCAGAATGCGATTTTCGCATCAAGCTCCGAACTGCAGCAAGTCGCATAAGTCTGGGGCAGCCATAGATCTGCGCACTTTCCACACAGAGGTGAGGTGAGGGCATACAAAGTAGGTGTTATTGAATTTCCCGGGCTCACATTCACACACACCCACACTCACACACACCTACCTCTAACTGTCAGGCATTGTTTTCTTTCTTTTTTGCAGTCCATTGGCAGTGAAGCATAAAAATTGACCTAGTTCGACTGTTTTTACAGCAAGACAAAAGTCCGCTGTGGCAGTAAAAGGGTTCTAGCAGGACTTGTGCTATTTTTGGATAAAAGTGCAATGCAATGGGAACTTGAAAATATATCTACAAAATTTTGAATTACATTTAACTATTTGGCTTAACCTTATAGAGTGAAATGCCAAAGTAAAGATAAACCAAGTAAGAGGGCTCCACTGTGAAATGTTGTGCTTAAGAGAATATAGATATATGTATGTATGTTCTTCAAGGGTCGCCACTTACATTTTAATAAAACTTTATACCTTGGTTTCCATATCTCCGGGCAGATAAAAATTAGAAATTGTTTGCATTATGTTGGCCTTCTCAACAGTGTCTGCACGGCTCACCTTCGAGGCACTGCAAAGAAAGAACTGTGTACACACATACATATACATATACATAAAGAGGGAAATACTTGCAGGTCGGCACTTCAATTTCATAACTTTGTATACTTTTTGCAGCAATGTTGCTATGTGGGCTCCCTTTGTTTTGCTACTGCAAAAGTTTGGAGCCGAAATGGGATAAAAAGCTTTTGCAGTCCTTTTTGTGTGTAGGGAAACCACTGAAACGAACTGAAAGTAGAATGCAGCAGAATACTTTGTGCCACAACAATTAAAAATAAAACAATTAGACGGGGAAGGAGCAGAACAAGGGTGAGCAAGGAAATTCAAGAAAACAAATGTTCATTATCATATTCAAGAGCGGCTTGCACATTAAAGGCGGCAGCACTTCGTGGCCATTAAATATACACCCTTTTAGCCACAATGGCATTCCAATTTCGCAAAACTCACCATAATTTGCACTTGATATTCCCTGCATTAGACCCTTCGAGCTGCCCCCTTCGAGCGTCTCGTGGTGAGTGCCGAAAGCTATTTTAGGTCCAGCCCTTCGGTCCGGACAGCGGAGGCTTGCGCTCGGCCAGCTCTGCTTGGGAGCTGCTGCTGTAAAGTGTGCTCGGGGTTCATTATTTCGTAGTACCTATTAAAGTAATTTGCCACATTTGTCGCCGGCCATTAGGCGCTATTAAAGCGCAATCAGAACGATTTCTCCAGGCTGTGGGCCAATACTTGAGAATCAATTTGGACAACGAAAAAGTTGTCACAACTTCTTCCAGCACGAACCCTTTTTATTAGTTCTGGCTATCGGCAGGACGCCGCAGCATAAGGCTCCGCGTTAAAAGGACATTCAGACCACAGTAACGGCACAATGTCGTGACGCTTAGCGAAGTAACACTGTACAGACAGTTCAATGTACTCATCGACAGCTCGCATATATATGTATATATATATATATATTTACGTGTCTGTGGATGGAAAATCAATATTTTCCGGCGCTATTTTTAGACTCTGGCAATATTTCCAGGGAATTTATAGATTTGTACTTTTGTACAGCTCACCTTTTTATTAGCATTTAAATTTCATGTTCTGTAAACTAATTCGACGCGAAGCAAAATTGTTTTTGTATAGAATTTAATCTGCATTCCAGCCCCGGGCTTCCACTTTAAGGCATGGAAATTCATTTTTGCATAATGGGAAAAGTTTTACACTTCAGTCATGATTTGCTTTTCTTCTGCTCGCAGCATTTCATTTAATGCAGCGGCCAAAAGACGTGCCTGTCAAAAGGGACGCCGTCGGGGCCAATGGGCAGGACGACGACATCGCTTCGAGTCGAGGCGAGTCGAGTGCCAAAACTTTTTGCCTGTGTCTCGTTCCGGAATTCTCTGCACTTCAGTGGAGAGCTTAACTATCAGCGTTCTCTTAACTACAAAAACAGCGCAGCTGATTGTCGTAAATGTTTGCTGAGGAAGGTGCGCGGATGGTCGTTAAGCCCCTGTGTGTGCGTATTTATATTATTACAGCTCGAAGTGGAAAATGGGTAATTAGGGTATTCGGAGTTTGAGGCACTGGCTGCGAAGATACTGAAGAAGGGGCTGCGTAATAATAGATGATTTTTCTCTCCATCTGTTGACAGAATTTTGATAGTACATTAGCGCATATTCCCTTCTCTATTTAGAATGGAATTTAGTTGACTTTATAAAGACCAATATGGAGATGATTATGATGGTAATGTTAGAGCAGAAAAAGATTATTATGAATAATTATATATGATAATATAGCAATAAATATATATATTACGGAGTTGCTCGAAAGAGGGCGGGTAGTGTGGGTCAGCCCTTTTAGTATTCTCGGCATTAAACTCATAAAGTTTTGAGAAATTGACTTTATGCTTGTAAGGAGAACTCGCAATGGCAAAGGTTGCCATCGTCGACGTTTACGTCGGCATCGACGTCCTTTTGCCATTGCTTTTATACAATTCTGGCTTGTCCGCTTGCTTGTCGCTCATCTTTGCAGAGCAAATAATAACAAAAGTTTCATTATTAATTTTTCTTAATCGAAATGCCGCAATTAAGAGTGAAACATAAAACTTTTCTCTTCGCCTTCGAGGGCGATGGTCGTCCTTTTGCTTTGCGTCTTCTGTTTCGCATCCTTCATCCTGCCTGCCCCCTGTCCGATTCCTGAAATAATTTTGCACTTTATTATAATCTGGGGA